AAGGTAATTGCATAAATCACCAAGAACAACACAAAAAGCATGATTTTCAGGTCAGCATTATCTGTCAATCCCAAAAGAATAAATTCAGTAACAGCTGTGAAGTTTTCTTCGGCCATTTGTTAATTCCTTATCTTGAAGTCTGATATGAAAAAAAAATAAAGGAATTAGAATGAACAGGACAGTCTGACATTTAGTAAAAACAAACAGAAATATGTTTAGAGTTGTGTCTTTAAATAAATCATTTTGCTGAATCTAAGTCTACTCATTTATAATAACTGGAGCTTTATTAAATTGTTTCTTAATTTTTTCAGGGCTACTTATGATTCTATCCCATAAGGAAATATTGAAAAAGCATTTAGACTCTCAAAAATTTTAGTCTGTTTCTATAGTGCCCACCTCAATAGAAAGAAAGGTGATACCAGAATGAGGGACACTGATGGCAAGTGAAAAGAATTTGCAAAGTTAAATTTAAGCTATGGTCTCAACTCTTCTTATTCATACATGAAAGAAATAAATTACAAGATCTAAGGCAGGGGTTGACCTTCAAGCTGGTGCCATGATACTCTTCAAAGTGCATGGATCCCTGACCTCTTGTGATGGCTTCTGATGAGCCCTTGGAAGGATACCCCCAGTGAAATCACCTACTCTGAGACCCAGGAAATCACTTATCACTACTGACTTACTGACTTTGGCAAACTCATTTATCTTTTCTCAGACTGCATATAATTACATCTACGTCACATGATTATTGAAAAGAAAATAGGAGATATTGCAAGCAAGATGCTAAATATTGCTTTGAGTGTATAATAAGTACTCAAATTACAGAAAAGATAGTAAGATATATATAACAGAAAAATGATAGATGTAGATTAGATAAAAGATAGATGATAGATGATAGATAGATAGATGGATAGATAGATAGATAGATAGATAGATAGATAGATAGATAGATAGATGATAGGTAATAGATGATAGATATGTAGGTAGATAAGCAATATATTGATAGGCAATTGCTATGTGAGTTTCCTTAAGGGAAGATGTGGACAAATATAGATCATGAAAAAAATATTTTAGTCAACCAATTTACCTTTCCCCAATTTTTAATATCTGGCTCATTTTATTTAAAATGGCATTTAAATGTAAATGTAAATGGATGGTTTAACATTTCCTTTGATAAATTACTGGCCCATAAATTTTCACAATTTCTCATATGTTGCTCAGAAACTATCAATATATTTGCCACAGTGCATGAGTGCTTTCAACAAATGATGTTAAGCCCAGACTTTTCATTACTGAATATAACATTAGTCTATCACGTCCCAAGTATCCGATGCAGTGTGATTTCATGAAAATATTTACACATAAAGTGAAACTGAATTAAATTTAAATTATGTGAACTAGTCCTCATTCAAGTGCTCAAGACCCATATGTGACTGGTAGACAATACAGAAATTATAGACATTTCCATCACTGCAGAAAGTTGCATTGGTTAGAATTCTCATGGAACTGTCTGCTTCTTCTTTTCAGAACACCAACTAAAAAACATTTTCTCAAGGAAAGATTGTCTATTGTAAACAGTTTTCATCATGAGCATACTTAAAAACACAGCACTTCCAAATGGAATTTAGAAATTCAATTATAGTGCTTATTCAGAGATACCCATCCTCTGCAAAATTTAAGATGATACTGAAGCAGAATTGAATAAGGTGTTGAGTTAGATGACATAATCTCTAATATTCTTAGCACTCATATGATTCTACGAGACTTAAAACAAATTTTTTAACTAATCTAATTATGAGGAAATTCAAAGAAAAAGAAAAAAAGCTTACAAAACTAATTGAACTTACCAAAAATATTTTAATCTTTCAGCTTTACAAACTCTGTGTACTTTTCCATGTTTTTTATTGGTGAAAAAGAGTTTCCGTTAATAATTATGTAATATACAGAGTTATTATATTAATAGTATGTATCTAAAGATAACTCCAGGTAAAATAATTGAAGGCAAATTTTATCTATTAATGTACAAGGAGCAGAATAACAAACTAATGAACAGTTTTAACATATTTAATACTTTTCCTCTAAGAGGACAAGTTTGTGCAGAAGGGACATCTATATATATACACACACTTGACATTGGCCTCTAAGGAGATCTATGACAGCTTGAATGTTTTACAGTAACTTAGGACACTGTCTCTCAAGGGAATATACACTTTCCCATGATTTCTCTATCTCCATAAAGTGTATAATTAACTAAAATGCTATTAATAATTTAAGAAAACATCAAAAAAAGATGGGGAGATTTTTGAAATTCAGTAGCATATAATAGGAACAATAACTGAAGATAAATCTGTTCAAAAAAAAGTGAATTACCTAAATGATAAATAGAGGTTTCTAGGCTTGTTACAAACTTTGTCTTTTTTTTTTTTTTTGAAGTTTATTTATTTATTGTGAGGGGGGAGAGGAAGAGAAAGAGAGAGAGAGAGAGAGAAAAAATCCCAAGCAGGTTCTCCACTGTCAGGGCAGAGCCCAGGGCTCTCCATCCCATGACCTATGAGATCATGACCTGGACAGAAATCAAGAGTTGGTTGCTCAACCAACTGAGCCACCCAGGTTCCCCCGAACTTTGTCTTTATGCAGATGTTCAAGACACTGACAAATGTTACTACTTTAAAAGCAATGTACACACACACAGTAAACAAGCAAATTTCTGATGGTTAGGACACCTATCTCTATTCTTGGCTTAACATGCAGAATGATTTGGAAGAAATCCTGCTTGAAATCCGGCTTAGAGTCAGTGCTTACACTCACCAAACTAATGTTTACTGATGGATGATACACTCTAGGCATTATGGTACAAACTAGAGATGAGGGGTTATCAAAAATAATGGAATATTTGTTTTAAGAAAGATTGGAGAATAAACATCCTCCCAAAGACACTTACATCAGAATATCTAGATATCTGTTCAAAAAAAGTAGATAATCATGGAGGGAAATAGGAGGATGCTAAAAATCAGACTGATAAGGGAAAATTGGTAGCATGTCTTTTCTGAGCGCTTTTGTCAATCTCTGTAACTGGAATCTGGATTTTAATAAGCCTGCTGCGGAAAACCACTGAAAATTGGAGAACACACATGTGACAGATGTTTTCAGATATTTGATGATTGGCAGCACACTACTGTGATCTGTAAGGGGCACGTTTACTGGTTCCTGACACGGGGTGGTGGTTGGGAACACATGGAGAACACAATAGTCACATTGAAACGAAAAGACAAAATCAGATCAGGAAGGGCTGGGGTGCCTGAAATGTGGGAGCTTAGTCCTGGAGTAGAAAGACCTAAGCAAAGTGATTAATATGTTGACATGACGTTTGAGACTTTGGATGACTTCCGAAGTGCACATATTAAGAGAAGACCCCATAAGTCCAGATCAGGAACAACTACCAGGGAGAAAGAAATCATCAGGAATCCGTATGATGAAAGCTACTGATTCACACAAGATATATCAGATATATTTAAATTCTGTCAACACTTAGTGAGGAAATTTATTGACTATATAGGGCTTCCAGTGGAGATAGCAAAAGAGAAAAGAACTCACCCCAGAGGAAAAGATTCACTATACTCCATTTTAACATAGCTCAATATTAACTTCCAACAGGATTAAGTAGAATGACAAGTAAATAAAAGTAAACAAACTCCTTGCCAAAAGAAACCTCAACACTGTTTAAAGAAAGATGTAAAAATTCTCTACTCAACTGCAGAATGTTTGCAAGGTTTAGGATCTAAAGTTATATTTCTCTGCAATTTGAAAAAACAGGAAAATGTTATCCATAACCCCAGGAAAAATAAATCATCGGTATTAGACCTAGAAATAACAGAGATAATAGAAATAGCAGATTAGAACTTTAAAACAATTGCAAATATTTGCAAGAATTTAAAGGAAAACATGGATATTAGAAAAAGAAACAGGAATTATGATAGAGGACCTAAATGAGTTACTAGGAGCAGGAGGTAATATCAGTCATAAGCATTTTATTGTTCTTTTTTTAAGTTTATTTATTTATTTTGAGAGAGAGAGAGAGAGAGAGACCACAAGCAGAGGAGGGGCAGAGAGAGGGAGAGAGAGAATCTCAAGCAGGAGAGAAAGAACCCCAACCAGGCTCTCAGTACAGAGCCCGACACAGGGCTCAAGCTCATAACCTTTGAGATCATGACCTGAGCTGAAATCAAGCTTCGGGCGCTTAACTGACTGAGCAACTCAGACATTTCTTATTCATTATTTTTTTTAACAGCAAACTAGATACTGCATAAAAAACAATTAGTAAATTTGAAAACAAGACAATAGATTTTACTCTTAATGAGTACAGTTCGTGGGAATCAAAGATTGGTAGGATCTCAGCTCAGGAAACATTCTACTTGAGGCAATCATTATGGCAACACATTGCATTACAATCATTGTTACAGGTTTGCCATATGAAAGGTCGAGGCATGTATATCAGTCATTTAAAGATGAGGCTTTAATTTCAAGTCTTCTACTTGTCAGCCATGTGACTTTCGGCAAGTTATCTGAGTTTGGTGTCCTTTGAATATGGAAATAGTAATATCTGTCTTACTGAGGTTAAATGATGTATTTTAACCCAGTGCCTACTGATATGCTTGTATTCTAATAATAAATTCCAAGAAAAATTCTTGTCCAATTACGATGCTATTGTCAAATGTATCCATGATTTTTGGAGCTATTCCAGTTTTACTGGGATAAAGCTGATGTCAAACTATTTTCCATTGTTACTTTCATCACTGACTCTGAATGAGTGTATTTATATCATGTAGGTCTCCATGGAGCTGTACATTATCATTTACGTTGTTTTGTTCCTTTCCTTGAATTGTCCCTTACATTTTTTCACTAGGGAATATGTAGGATATCCTCGATAATTAGTAGGTACCACAAAGCAACTTAAAAATATCTCTCAGATGATTTGGGCACATCATCTGAATGAATTACACGTAACTTCCTCAGGGAGCATTGCAAAGAAGAGGAGAAACATAAATTCTCCCTGCCCAAAGGAAAAGCAAGAGTAATTTAGGAGAAGAAAATCCAGTCTATTAAAGGTGAGTAGATAGGACTTGTTAATTTTGATTATCACTTGGATGCTGGTAATTTCCCATGGTTCCTGGCTTCTGATCATGGACACTCCCATAGTCACTGACAGCAGATTCTTTCTAACACATCACAAAAATTCATTATACTTTTTGTTAACCGGGGTTCCCTGGAGTAGAAATGTCTTTTTAGGGCACTAAATCCTATGAATTGACTATATGTCATAGATCCATTTGATCTGTGAGAGTTGATAGTGGAATTTGGATATTACAAGTGAAGAGGAAGTCAAAGGTATCTGAAAAAATCAATATTGGTCTCATCAACTAGAAACTGTTAAGGTTAGGATTTCTACATAAACTACAGAATGCCCAGTTACATATGGATTTCATATTAACAACAAATAATTTGTAGTATATGTCCTATGTAATATTTAATAATATTCTTTAGTTTGAATATATCCAATGAAATATTTAAAAAATAATATTTTAAGATATATTATTACCCATGCAATATTTTATAAACTACAAATAATTTTAATATAAGGACTCCAAGGCATGAGCTTGTAAATATTTTAGTTGTTTGTTTTTTGTTTTTTGTTTTCCCTGACTGATTTGCTTCCTACTTGATTTCTTTATTCAGAATGGGATTTATAAACTAATTGAGTAGCCTGGGAAATAAATAGAATGACTTTTAAGAATTATGGAGAAAGCCCTGAACCCCAAATAATTCCTACCTAATATTACCATGTCTGAAGATTGAAAAGTCATTTTCAATATGTCATTTTTTATATCCTGTTTTAATGGTTAGCCCTAAATGGAAGTATTGAAAATATATGCATCAAGAAGTTCAAAACTGGGGCACCTGGGTGGCTCAGTCGGCTAAGCATCTGACTTCGGTTCAGGTCACCATCTCGCGGTTTGTGGGTTCGAGCCCCACATTGGGCTCTGTGCTGACAGCTCAGAGCTTGGAGCCTGCTTCAGATTCTGTGTCTCTCCATCTCTCGGCCCCTCCCCTGCTCATGCTCCATGTCTCTCTGTCTCTCAATAATAAATAAACGTTAAAAAAAATTAAAAAAAAAAGATGTTCAAAACTGATCAGATATCCTTTTGAAAATAAGAATGGATAGGGTGTTAATATCTCTTTAAGACCATAATAGCCATTCTTTTTGATAAATACTCAGAAGCAGGGTTCCTAGATCATATGCGGAATTGCTAATCAACAGGTATAAAGTTTCAGTTATGTGAGATGAGTAAGATCTAGAGATACATCATACAACATCGTGCCTAGTTAACAATGCTGTGTTGTAGAGTTAAAAATCTTTTAACTATGTAGATCTCATGTCAATTATTTTTATAATAAAATAAAAATTAAAAGAGAAAAACACGGAATGAAAGAATCCAGATATCTTCAGAGAGAGGTAAAAACTGACACTGAAAGTGGAGAGAAACTCAATAAACATTAGACTAGTTCTTAGCAATACATTGACGACTTCTAAGTGGTGGGATTGGTACCAGCATTCTGAATCCCTTTGTTAAGACGGTGCATTTTCCGTTCTGCGGGAAAACCCATGACAGCAGGTCCGGCGACCCTTGGAGCTTATTCGTGCAAGAGGAAGGATCCTGAAAGCAGGGAGGAACTCAATGGAGAAACAATAGACAATATCATCCAGGAAAATGGGATGGTATCTCCCGTACTGCCTCTCTCGTCCATGCCCACTCCCGGGATCAAACTGGCTGACTCAACACTAAAAATTATCAGATTCTTAGAAATCTGCCAGCTGCCACCGGGTAGCTTCAGACTCCAGCTGGCCTGTGGTAGGCTCCCGGGAGTTTCATCTGATAGGTAGAAGTGTTTACCTTAACCCCCTTGGACTGCTAGTTATACTGACTAAAGCTACACATCTTGTTACGTGAAAGTAATTCTATTCTGTATTTTATCTGACTGAATATGTTCAATTCCAATTCCTTCTCCACTTGAAAATCATGCTAACAGAGTTCCGAATGTTCACTGAAAAACAGTGGGAAAGGAAGGAATCCAGGTGGATTGAGCTAAAGCAGTTTCACTGTCTTCAATCACTTTGTTTCACTGACTTCCAATGTAAATTTTATGAAATGAAGGCGACACTTATCAGAGAAATATTTGCAAATCACAGTGTTGTGCCCTACGTATATCCCATTGTGGAATTTGAGAAATAAACTGACATAATAAACACTCAAATAAATATGTTAAATGTTTTATAGACCTTATCATATCCACATTGGAAGAATCAATCTATGCATATAAATAAGCAAAGCAGAGGAAATATAGTATGTAAAATTCAATATTCAAAATCCCTGAATATTGATGTAAACTGTATATTTTAGCAGGAGTGGATCCAAACCTTGTGCATTTTGAGGCTTATCCTAATTTGAGATCATTCTTTAAAAAAAAAAAAAGAAATAGGGGAGCTTGGGTCGCTCAGTCAGTTAAGTGGCAGACTCTTGATTTCAGCTTAGGTCATGACGTCATGATTTGTGAGTTCAAATCCCACAATGGGCTCTGTGCTGACAGCTTGGAGCCTGCTCCCAATCCTCTGTCTCCCTCTCTCTGACCCTTCCCTGCTTGTACTCTCTCTCTCTCAAAAATAAATGAATGTTAAAAAAAAATTAAAAGAGAAGAAATAAAACTATGCATGTAAGTTGCAACGTAAATGTGAATATTTATTTACAATGGAAGCATAATCTTAAAGTTCAGCTCTAAAACTAATAATCAAAAGCATCATAAAATCTTGGGGTGCCTGGGTGGCTCAGTCAGGTAAGCCTGATTTTGGCTCAGGTCATGATCTCAGGGTTTGTGAGTTTGAGTCCCACGTGGGGCTCTGTACCGACAATGCAGAGCCTGCTTAGGATTCTCATTCTCCCTCTCTCTCTCTCTGCCCCTCCCCCTCCCTCATTCATGCTGTCTCTGTCTCTGTCTCTATCTCTGTCTGTTTTTCAAAAAAAAGCATCATAATATCCATAAATATGTTCTTATTAATGACATACATCTCAGCATATTGGGTGGTAGGAGTGTTCTTAACAGCTGTTCTTACACCAAATGGATGACACTTTTCAGTGATAAATATCATTGATTTTGAACCATATAGATATATTCAGTAACCATCAAATAAAGTATTGTTTACTCAACCTCTCTTTAACTGGATCCCACAAGTGTCCTCAGACATGACAAACTATCTTGACATTAGCTGAAGGATGATGGAGAAGTTAGAATGGAGAGAGAAAATGAGCTTAATTGATCAAGGTTAAAATATTTTACATTTGCAACATTTACAAAGATATATTACTTTGTTAGTTCATGCCTAAAGCCTCATTCATGGCCTTGAAAATGCAAATGAGTAACCTAAATCTTAAACTGCATTGCCTCCAGATTATTTCTGCTTCTTTCATTAAGAATATCAAAATTTCACTGGAATTATCATACAAAAATGGAAGTGTACAAAAGGAAAATTGATACCATTGTGTAGATGAAATAAAGTCTAATAAATCTGTATTAATGCTTATATGGCTTTTTACTTTTTTTATGAATAGACTTTTATTTTATTTCATTTTTTAAATATAAAATTTATTGTCAAATTGGTTTCCATACAACACCCAGTGCTCATCCCAACAGGTGACCTCCTCAATGCCCATCACCCACTCTCCCCTCCCTCCCACCCCCCATCAGCCCTCAGTTTGTTCTCAGTTTTTAAGAGTCTCTTATGCTTTTGCTCTCTCCCACTCTAACCTCTTTTTCTTTCCTTCCCCTCCCCCATGGGTTTCTATTAAGTTTCTCAGGATCCACATAAGAGTGAAACCATATGGTATCTGTCTTTCTCTGTATGGCTTATTTCACTTAGCATCACACTCTCCATTTCCATCCACGTTGCTACAAAAGGCCAGATTTCATTCTTTCTCATTGCCAAGTAGTATTCCCTTGTATATATAAACCACATCTTCTTTATCCATTCATCAGTTGATGGACATTTAGGCTCTTTCCATAATTCGGCTATTGTTGAGAGTGCTGCTATAAACATTGGGGAACAAGTGCCCCTATGCATCAGCGCTCCTGTATCCCTTGGGTAGATTTCTAGCAGGGCTATTGCTGGGTCATAGGGTAAGTCTATTTTTAACTTTTTGAGGAACCTCCACACTGTTTTCCAGAGCAACTGCACCAGTTTGCATTCCCACCAACAGTGCTGGAGGGTTCCCGTTTCTCCACATCCTCACCAGCACCTATAGTCTCCTGATTTGTTCATTTTAGCCACTCTGACCGGTGTGAGGTGATATCTGAGTGTGGTTTTAATTTGTATTTCCCTGATGAGGAGTGATGTTGAGCATCTTTTCATGTGCCTGTTGGCCATCTGGATGTCTTCATTAAAGAAGTGTCTATTCATATTTTCTGCCCATTTCTTCACTGGATTAATTGGTTTTTGGGTGTGGAGTTTGCTGAGTTCTTTATAGGTTTTGGATACTAGCCCTCTGTCTGATATGTTATTTGCAAATATCTTTTCCCATTCCGTTGGTTGCCTTTTTGTTTTGTTGATTGTTTCCTTTGCTGTGAGGAAACTTTTTATCTTCATGAGGTCCCAATAGTTCATTTTTGCTTTTAATTCCCTTGTCTTTGAAGATGTGTCAAGTAAGAAATTGCTGCAGCTAAGGTCAGAGAGGATTTTTCCTACTTTCTCCTCTAGGGTTTTGATGGTTTCCTGTCTCACATTCAGGTCCTTCATCCATTTTGAGTTTATTTTTGTGAATGGTGTAAGAAAGTGGTCTAGTTTCATTCTTCTGAATGTTGCTGTCCAGTTCTCCTAGCACCATTTGTTAAAGAGACTGTCTTTTTTCCATTGGATGTTCTTTTCTGCTTTGTCAAAGATTAGTTGGCCATACGTGTGTGGGTCTAGTTCTGGGGTTTCTATTCTATTCCATTGGTCTATGTGTCTGTTTTTGTGCCAATACCATGCTGTCTTGATGATGACAGCTTTGTAGTAGAGGCT